GCCCCTCCTCCCTCAGACCTGGGGGTTTAACCCCTGCCCCTCCTCCCTCAGACCTGGGGGTTTAACCCCTGCCCCTCCTCCCTCAGACCTGGGGGTTCAACCCCAGCCCCTCCTCCTTCACACCCAGAAGTCCTGGTCATAGGCTCACATGTGTATTTCCCAGCTAGGGACATGACAGTGCCCTCCTCCCCAGGCCGCCGGTGGTAGACTAGCTCTCCGCCTAGGGCCAGACATGGCGTGATGCTCTGGAGGTAGTGGGCTACGAGGATTCCTATAGGCAAGATGACAGTTAGTCAGTTTCCAGTCAGCCTGAGGGCCAAGCCAGACTCCTACTCCAGAAAGCCTTCCAGGCTTGCCCCTGCTGGAGGTTCAGGGCCTGTCCTCTGGTCTCCCAGACCTTCTCCCTGCCACTAACTGCCACCTAGCAGTCTACACACTCTGAGTTCAGCTTCACAGGACCTGCGGTGACTACATTACCTGTGGGACCTCACCCCATCTACATAAGCCCGTGCAGCTGGCATTCATTTGCCACCACTAAGAGGGAAGGTCACTGAGCCTGAGGGAGGTAAGGCACTCACGCAGTCACACAAGGTATCAGGAGCAGAATCTAGGTCTCTACCCCTCCCAAGCCCAGGCTCTCCTCTTATCCATCCACTCTGCCACTGCCATCCATTCCAGAAGCAGGAAAGTGGAATCCGTAAGAACATAAACCCTACCACTTGCCAGTTAATGACTGAGGGGCTCTAGCTTCACTTCTCTGTTAACACGATTGCCCTTTGGGGCTGTGAAGACCAAACAGCCTTCAAGTAACACATGGACTTGCTATGCTGAGGCCCACATCTGGGTTCCTCTGCAGGAGGCAGGCTCTGAGGTCTCTGCGATTGTTTCCTGAACAAACAAACCCTCGGTTGGGTTGCATTCCTCAAGCCCAAGGTTGGAGACTGATTTGCTTCTATGTCTTTGGAGCCTAGCACAGTACATGTCTCAAATGTGACTTTATTGCGGGGAAAGGAGAGAAAAACTGGGGAGAAAGAGAGTGGGAGACAGAGAGAGGGAGTAACAGAGAAATAGGAAGGAAACATATCTGCAGAGGAGGGGAATCAGAAGCAGAGAAGGAAGAGATCCCCCTGTTAAGAAACCCGCCAAGACTGAGCAGACAGAGATAGGACTCCAGGTTTCAACCCAGAAAAAAGATGACATGTGGAAAGGGGAGAGGGAAATAAGGGTACAAAGAGAAGCTGGGACAGGACAGAGCATGTGTCCCAAAGGAAACCAGATGCACTAATGTGGGCTCACCAAGGGAGCAGGCTGGGCTACTAGCTGGAAGTCTGCTCTCTGGGGCAGTAGGAGTAAGGAACTTACACCGCAGGCACAGCTGGGTGGAGCTGCCAGAGGGGCTGGGTGGGCGGCCCCCAAGATGGGGCTGAGAGCTCATGGCCAGGGCCTTGGCAGTATCTTCTGAGGAGGTTGAGATGAGAGGTGGGCCTGAGCCTGCACCTATGGGCTCATGAGCCACTGTGCTTATCTTTTCCCTGAGTAGCTGATACAAATTAACCTGAGAACTGGCTGTCAAGTCATTACCTCTCTGGTCAGGATCATCCACTCATTTAACCGAGGGGAGAACGGAGGCCCACAGAGGAAAAACTAGCTGTTTCTCAGCCTGCCTCCTTAGCACTAGGAATTACTGGGACTGCAAGCCTCAGAACATCTAATCATCCTTCCTGTCACCTCGGGCTGACACCCCCCCACCCCCCATTTCTCTTTGGTCTCTTGCCCTAAACTTACTCTCTCTAAACACCTTCACATATTGCAGACAGAAGGATCTTGTGACAGTACAGACTTGACCCTGTCTTCCCCCCCTGCCTAGAATCTGCCCTGGCTCCCCAGTGCCCTGAGAAGATCCTGCCTCCTCACAGCAGTTTTGAGCAGAGCCACTTCCACTTCCCATAACAGAGCTGCCATCTTCCCCTACACACCCTCCACTGCAGTAATATGTGGAGAGCTCTTTTTCCCTTTCTTCCCTCCCACCTGTGTCCATGGTCCCTCTGCCACTGACTGAGCCCTTCCTTCTGCTTTGTTGGCCAGCCAAATATCTGAGGTTCACTTCAGTATTTCTTTTTTCTTCTTTTTTTTGAGACAGAGCCTCAGGAGCTGTCACCCTGGGTTGAGTGCCATGGCATCACAACTCACAGCAACCTCCAAGTCCTGGGCTTAAGCGATTCTCTTGCCTCAGCCTTCCAAGTAGCTGGGACTACAGGCGCCCACCACAATGCCTGGCTAGTTTTTGCCTGTAGATGTCATTGTTGTTTGGCAGGCCTGGGCTGGATTAGAACCTGCAAGCTCTGGTGTATGGGGCTGGCGCCTTAGCTGCATGAGCTATAGGCGCCTAGCCTTTTTTTTTTTTTTCTGAGACAGAGTCTCACTATGTTGCCCTCAGTAGAGTGCCATGGAACCACAGCTCACAGCAACCTCAAACTGTTTTTTTTTTTTTTTTTTTGGCCAGGGCTGGGTTTGAACCCACCACCTCTGGCATATGGGGCTAGCGCCTTACTCCTTTGAGCCACAGGCGCCGCCCTGCAACCTCAAACTCTTGGGCTTAAGAGATTCTCTTGCCTTAGCCTTCCAAGCAGCTGGCACTACAGGCGCCGGTCATAATGCCCGGCTATTTTTTGCTGTAGTTGTCCTTGTTGTTTAGCAGGCCCAGGCTGGACTCGAACCTGCCAGCCCCAGTGGTGGCACCCTAACCACTGAGCTACGAGCACTAAGCCTGCCCTTAAGTATTTCCTATACTTGATCACTCCCCTCCAGCCCACCCGTCATCAGAGCCATGGGACCAATGCATGTGTCCCCACCTGGACCTCCCTGCTTCCACTCTCACTCATGGAGTGAATAAGACCTGAGAGTAGCCCCTGGGTCTGTAAGAACCAAAGCCAAAGGATGATCTCTACTGTGGAAGTTCCTGTCATGGGCCCCCACTAAGCCCCAAGGATTCTGGCTCACTCCGACTCTGAGCCCTGTTCTCTCTGCTTGCCAAGTATCCCTGGACCCCTGGCTGCTGTGGCCTGGGATACTTTTCTTCCTGAGAGCTACATGGCTTACTGCCTGCAGCTCATTTTCCATCTCATCTGCTGTACACCTTGCTCTCCTTTACCTGCTGTCTTCCTAACCAACTCTTCTCTATCTAGCCTTTAGGGCAGACATCAGCGCTACAAGGGCATGGCCTTATCTAGACCAGAGGTGCTCAGCCAGGGGTCTTTCTGCAAGGTCTGTGACTGTCTTGATTGGGGTGGGGTTGCATCTATACCTAGTGTGTAGAGGCCAGTGATACTGTTCAGCAGCTTCCAATAAGCAGGAAGGCCCCACAGTGTAGAACAGTCTGGTCAAACCCAAGTGCTGAGGCTGAGAAGCCCTGGACTAGCTTAAGTCTTTTTTTCCCCTTTTATTCCCCTTGGTAGAGTGTCATGGCATCACAGCTCATAGCAACTTCAAACTTTTGGGCTCAAGCGATTCTCTTGCTTCAGCCTCCAGAGTAGCTGGGACTATAGGTGCCCGCCACAAAGCCCAGCTATTTTTAGAGATGAGGTTTTGCTTTGGCTCAGGCGATCCACTGGCCTCAGCCTCCTGGAGTGCTAGGATTACTGTGCCCAGCTGCTTTAAGTCTCTCTTTTTTGGATACAGAGTCCACTCTGTTATCCCAGGCTAGAGCACCATGGTGTTATACCTCACAGCAACCTCAAACTCCTGGGTTCAGGTGATTCGCCTGTCTCAGCCTCCCAAGTACTTGGGTTATAAGCACTTGCCACAATACCCAGCTAATTTTTCTAATAGAAAATTTTTTTCTATAGATAGGGTCTCACTCTTGCTTAGGTTGGTCTCACACTCATGATCTCAAGCGAGCTACCTGCCTTGACTTCCCAGAGCACTAGGATTACAGGCGGGAGGCACTGTGCCCTGCCTTTTTTTTTGTTGTTGTTGTTGAGACAGGTTCTCACTCTGTCACCTGGGCTAGACTACAGTAGACTGTAGATATACAGTGCCATCATACATATAGCTCACAGCAACTTCAAACTCCTGGGCTTAAGCAGTCCTGCCTCAGCCTCCCAAGTAGCTGGGACTAACTACAGGTACCTGCCATGAAGCCTAACTAATTTTTTCTATTTTTAGCAGAGATGCAGGTCTTACTCTTACTCAGGCTGGTCTTGAACCCCTGAGCTCAAGCAATCCTCAGGCCTTGGCCTCCCAGAGTGCTAGGATTACAGGTATGAGCCACTTCACCTGGCCAACTTTGAGTGTTGTATCTATACTAAAAATAGTGCCTAGCACCTTGTAGGTTGATCGGTTAAAATCTGGTCTATAATTTACGCACAGGAAGCAACATGAGTTCAAAACCTCAAAAGGAGGAGCAGAAGTGAGTTGGAGGTCTGTGAGAGTAAAGAGAAGGCCAGAGCCTAGCTGCCCACACTGTCCCCAAGGGCAGAGGAGGTAGATGGATGGTCTGTGCTGCCGTACCTGGCCTCTCCCTTGCTGGGCCAGGATCCTATTGGGGAAGTTGCCTAGGGCAGAAATGACCAGCAGAACCCAGGGCAGATGCACAGGTGGGGGCAGCCCCAGAAGGGAAGGTGGTGCCTGGCTCTGGCTAAACAGGCTGTCTCCCTGCCTTCTTTGAGTGCTTCCTCCTTGTCCTCAACTCCTCTGACTAGTTAGTGTCCCTTCGTTTAGGAAGTACTCTTATTTTTTTTTTTTTTTGGAGTCAGAGTCTCAAGCTGTCACCCTGGGTAGAGTGCCGTGGCATCACAGCTCAGACTCAAACCTTGGGCTTAAGCGATTCTCTTGCCTCAGCCTCCCGAGTAGCTAGGACTACAGGCGCAGCCACAACACCCAGCTATTTTTTTTGTTGTTGTTATTGCAGTTGTCATTGTTGTTTTAGCTGGCCCAGGCCAGGTTTGAACCACCGAGCTTGGTGTATATGGCTGGTACCCTTACCCACTGAACTATGGGGCACCACCCTAGGAAAGTACCCTTTGAGAGATGCTGTCAGTCACCTCAGGTTATAAGTTATCACAGCAAGCTGACTTTTTCCTCACAATAGTTAATGAGTTCATTGTGGGAGGACAGAAGGCAAATGTCTCCCCTACAGCCTGAGAGCTCCCCCAGGGCAGGAACGGGCTGTTGTCTTAATCACAGCTGTGTCTCTGGCCTGCCTAAAGTTGGGTGCACACTAAGGGCTCAGAATGAAGCAGAGGCTTCATAGAAGCAGCCAAAGCCATGGAG